AAATAAATTTGATTGATGACCTATATTAGAATTATCTAATAGTTCAATGACCCGTTTTGAAGTTCACTCTAACTTATTTTTTACTAAATGAAAATATTAACATAGTACAATAATGGCAAGAAAAGAAACAAAAGGCATATTATCTTATTTGAATTTTGCAAGGAAAGGTAATGACTACCAAACATAACATTTTTAAAATTTTGCTAGGAGAAAAGTTAATGGACTTGGACTGGAATATTAGTTAGTCTGAGGAGGATTTGTTTTTTTAATTTCTTTTGAAGAGAAATATTATTATATCCCTATTCATAAAGAAAGAGAGAAAACTAAGGAAGAAGCTGATATAAAAATTATATTAAAATTCCAATAGAAGGGTAAATATAGTACACTAGAAAATATGCTCTTAACATAACAAAACTGTTCTTAAAATATGATCAGCCATTTCAACAACTCACAAATGAAAAATGTTTTCAAGGTCTAGGAGATAACTTTTTTGTGATGGAAGTCCATTTTTCTCACGAGTTGAATATTGAACAATTATGTGTTGAAAATATGCTATTCTAAATTTTGCACAATGGGTAACATATCAAGTTTTGCTAATCATATAAATGTCATCAATAAATAGCAATTTCAACCACTTAATTCATGTCCATGACTAAAACCATTAATGTTTAATATAGCTAAAACTTAATGTATTTTTTTTTTTTTTTTTGGGAACAGAGGAGTATTATTAGTACTTGTACAGTCTTTTGCAAATAAAAGAAGGTGGTTGATTCCGCAGATTCATCCATTTCAACTACCCAAAACTCAATTATAAATGTTTGTTTGAATGTTAAGTGACTCGTTTTCAACATCTCAATCTAATTATTTCCAAAAACAATTTTATGACATTACGAGCTATTATACAAGTGTTTTTTTTAATTGTTTTTTATTGTCATTTATTGTTGGACAATTTTAAGCAAACTGATATAATTTAATTTTTAATTTTTTAAAAATCTCACTATTCTCAAGTAGGGTTCATCTGACTACAATGGACGAATCTGTAATCAACCATGCAAATAAAACCCCCAAAAATTTCCGATTCTAGAGGACGTGATCTACATATGTCATGTTTTGTCTGTCAGACATTTATCATGAATTCTGAGATAGGATAATATATAATCGTTTATTCTCTTGTTAAATTAATTTACTAAATCCACTTTTGTAATTGAAACATTATGAAGTGTACCTTTGTTTCTCAATTCGTGTTGTACTCTTTTCAGTAATCAATTGTGTTTTCCTGAAACAAAAAATCCAAAAATTAGTTGAAATGAACACATTAGTAGGTGATTACAATTAACAATTAAGCATATCTATCTTCCATGCAAGTAAAACCCCAAAAATTGCGCGATTGAGAGAGAAAAACAAACCTTAGCATACTTCCAAAAACAATTAGAGAAAGAATTGTTAAGTTGGTTTCATGTACATCATCGTTGGTTGGGGAAGTACATGGTCAAATTAAAAACGAGTTCATAATCTAATTTAGTTTCAAGGAAACATATACTCCCTCCGTCCCAAAATTATTGTCCACTTTGTATTTTCATTTAAAGTATAAAAGGAACTAAAAGTGAAAACCCAAATTGGACAATAATTTTGGGACAGATGGAGTATTAGTAGAGAGATATGAACTTGAATGGGTAGAATATTATAGTATTACATGCGAAAATTATACTGTAGTAAAAATATAAAAAGACATTGAAGAATATGACTTGTAAAACGAAATTAAAATAGAATAATCATTTTAAGACATAATACCTCCATTTACTTGGATCTATATAAACAATATTCCTCTTTGGATCCTGATTTCTTCGCAACTATTGTACGTCCTTCCTTCCTCACTGTCCCATTATTATTCGTCATGCTTGTTGAATTAAAATAATACTCATTTTGTTATTAAGAAAAATAAAAATTAGTTCACATTGTAGTCTGTGATGTATATTAACCTAGTATGAATTATAATATAAATTATAAATTATAATGTGAACTATTTTTTATGAGACGAATCAATTCGTTTGACAACGAAAAAAATGCAGATTTTAGACTTAGCCAACTCATTTGCGTTGTGGTATTATTATAACATTATCCATCACTAGAGTTTTGGGATTTCTTTCTTCTTCATCCTGTTATATTAATAGACATCAAACTGTTGCAACTCCGTAGCGAAGAAGATCAAAACTAACACAACATTTGTATTCCAAAATCTTTGACTTCGCCCCATTTTCTTTGTTGTGGTCACACGCAAATTTCATAGGACAATACAATTCACATATTTAAGAACTATCTCATCAGACATCCTAGAAATTAAGCCGTGATAGCCATTTAACAAGCTTGTGATAAATTCTGATTTTATTTTTGTTAATATTGGTAAGGTAGTAATATAAATCTTGTTCTGGTGGACAAAATTAACCAGTTAGAAATCTGTGACCTGACTAGTACTCTTTGCTGTGGTGTGTTTACGTTAAAATAAATTTGGAAAGTTCTAACTTCTAAAGGGGTTTAATGAATTGAACTCCTCATCAACCTTCTAAAGTTTGTAATTATTATTGCCAAATGAGCGTTATGTACAATTTTTTTTTTTTAAAAAAAGGAGGGTGCGTATAGTATGGTCTACGGACAATGATTTTAAAATGATACTCCCTCTGTCCCAAAATTATTGTCCAGCTTAAGATTTTATTTTTAGTATAATTTGAACTAAAAATAAAAACTTAAACTGAATAATAATTATTGGACGGAGGAAGTATAACATTTTCAATTTGTTCATAAACTAGAAACTAGACTACTGTATTTGATTCCTTTTTCTTTTCTTTTTCCCTTCTTTTTTTTTTTTTTTTACAGCCAATTAACAACGGACACCAGAGAAGATTTGGAAGATTCCCACGTGGCTTTTAGGAAAAGGGTAGCTCTGTTGGGGTCCAGGAGGTATCTAACCATGTTGGTCCCGCCTGATAACGTTGTAAAATTTCCAACAGAAGCCGGAAAACTCGTACTACCTGGCAAACAACTGTTGGGTAAATGTCTTCATTTTTCGTGCAATTTTTTAAATATCAAAAAATACCCCCAAGATTTAGCTAATTATTATTTAAAACACCTTAACTGTTTAAGAAAAATATAGAAAACAAAAATCTGTTAATCGACAAGTTAATTATTATAAAAGAGTCATGTGATGGCTGAAATTTGATGTATACACATAAATTCCACCAAAAATGTGTCAAAAAATGCATGTACCATGTAAAAATCATGTGTGATTTTTTTTTCAAAACTCTAACGAAATTAAATATCCTACTTCTAATCCAAACTTCAAAATTTAAGAGCTATCAAAGATGAATTTTCGATTTAAAAGTGAATATTTGATTTCATTAGAGTTTGAAATAAATTCAAGGAAGATTTCTATGGGGAACAAGCGTTAGTTTGACATTTTGTTTTTGGTTGAATTCATGTGCATACATCAATTTTCAGTCATGGGAGGACCCTTTCGATAATTAACCTGTTGATTAAGGAAATATTTATATATATATATATATATCTATATATATATTTTCTTAAACAATAAAAGATGTTTGAGATAGTTAGCAAAATATGGGGTTTTTTTTGATATCAATCCAATTTTCTTTTTTCTCCAGAAAACGTACTCGTAGTCGTAGCCACATGCAATGTTAAGGCCAACCTTTTTGCATCTTTCTCATCAGTGAATTATGCAGCGATTATGGGAGAATTAACTAATGTCTCTTTCTCCAAGGCCTGTGTTTGCTCTAAGTCAAACTATCATTAGTTCTGTATGTGTCTATGTGATTGTGATCTGCCCGCCAATTGAATCATATTACTCATCGCTCTTAAAATTATTGTCCAACGGAAATCAGTAACATTGAATAAACTTGCATTTAGATGTAATATTATAGCTGATGATCAAATGCAGATATTATCATATGCGCGATTTTACCTAGAGAAATATTCTTGATTTTTTTTTATTAAAAAATTAATTAACTTCTTAAATTTTGCCGGGAAAAAAAACTAGAAACTCGATTGGAAGTGGAAACTAGGATTTTTGTTTGTACTGCAGTAGAGTCCATTTTCTTCTCTTTTATCTTTACTACTTTAAATTTAAAGTGTCTTACCTAAAAATAACTATGCATTTTGGCACGTAGGTAGGCAATAACTTTTTCACTGTTATGGATTTTTATGATCCAATAAAAGATCTCCTCAAAAGTGAAAAGAACTGTTGTGATGGTTTGATTGACAAGTATTTATCCGTGAAAACCTTCACGCGTGCACAATTTTTTTTTTCCTATGTAAGTCGATTGAAAAGATCTAGTAAAATCTAAATTCTTGAAACAAGTCATTTTTGATGTGCACTTTTTGTAATTTTTTTTAATCATTATATAAATCATTTTAGAATTCCAATGCAATGTTGGGTTACTTAAACTCTAATTATCTAAAAACTTGCTAGTTTTAAGTACGATGCGCATGTTTTTTCATTTACATTTTAACCAACGAGTAATATGGTATAGCCTTAGCAAAAAATCATAATCACATCATAGGGCCGTTAAAAAGACCAAAACACTAATAACCAAACCAAAACCTCTGTACTAATAGTAGACAACATGTACTACTTATATCGGTCACGATTATTCAATTTAAATTTTCAGTTCTAATTTAAATTATAAAAAAAAAATCAAAATTAGACAATGATTTTGAGACGTTGATAATATATATTTTTAATATATAATAGTAATATATTTTTAACGAGACGTGGGTAGTAATAATACATACTAACTAAGCTATATATGTTCCAGAGATATATAATGTGTATAAATGATAATACTATAACAAGATGCAATTAGTAAAGAAGAGAAAATGAGAATCTTCACATTTCCAATTCCTACCTCCTTTGTCTTTTGCCTACATCTCCATGTTTCTCTTCACACTTCAGACACACAGTCCAACTTCCAATTTCCAAAAGCCAAAGCGGAAATTCCTAACGCGTTTCTTTTCTTTTTCCTTCTCTTCTTTCCAAAAAATTATTTAAAAAGAAAAACGAAAACAAAACACGACAATAGTAGTATTAGTAGTAGTTGTTTACTTGGACTGGGACTAGTTGGCCTATTCCAAGTCCAACTCCAGCAAAGTCCCCCTATAGTGTGTAGTAAAGAGTCTTCCTTTTTTATTTTTTATTTTTTATTTTTATTTTCCTTTTTTATTTTTATGTTAAGTAATAAGAATTTTTAAATTCTCTTCTCCTTTCGCCCTTTTTCTCTTTCTCCACTTCTCTCTCTTTCTTTCTCTTTGTGTGTTCTGTTCTGGGGAGTCCTGACAATTCAAATTCGGGGAGTGTAAGAAACCCAGGTGACAACCTCGTTCTGTTGGAAGAACTCACGCAGATTACTCGAAAAAGAAAAAAAAAACCAGTCTTTTTTGTTTTATTATTGCCAACGGTACCAATCCCTTCATTCTTCCTTCGTGTGTTGTTTGTTTTTTTCTGGGCGCTTGTGTTTTTGATTGTCATCGGCCTCTTAAGTTCAATTTGGGTTTTTTTTTTTTCCTGTTGTTGTCACAAATTTCGGTTTCTGGTAGTTATGATGAGAAAGACTGCATTGTAGATGTCAATCCCTTTTGGGTTTTTGTTTCCCCTGTTTATGAATTCACTGATGCAGTCAGAGCTCCTGTTAAGAATGGTCTTTATTTTACTCTATTTTATTCGTGAGTGGATCTTATTGTGATCACTGGTAAGATAAGGAGCTGAAGATGCTATTGATTGATATATCTGAAAAATTTAATGGGTGATTCGGAATGCTGTTCTGTTCTTCTGCTGTTCATCGTCAAAGGACAACTAGAATTTGGTCCTCATCCTTTCTGGGTTCATTTTATGCTGTAGTATTTTTAATTTCCTTTTTGTCGTTTCCACTCAAGAAAATTTGTGGGCTCAACTCTCCTTCTTTCTTAGGTGCTTTTCTTTCTATGATTTTTTTGTCCTCCTTTTCATTGGGTATAGTTCCAATTGGGGTTTCTGTTTTCTTATTAATCTTCTGGATTGACTTCACTGTCCTCTTGTTTGCAAGATCCAATATTTCCATCTTCCTTGATTAATTCCAGATGAAACGCTGAAGGTCGTTTGTAGATCCTTTTGGAAGTTTAGATTCTTCGTATATGGAGATAGGCTTATTTTGCTTTATACCTTGCTAAACAACTCCGATAAGCAAATCAATTATGTTGAAATGAGTACAGTATCTCTCCTACTTTTTTAGCCTAGGGCCCAATGCCATTAATATTTAGTACTATGTCTCTCCGTTTGTTGTGAAAATTTAGTTGATTTGCTCACTATGTTTGATTTTTTTAATAATGTGGATGCAGGGTGTTTCATATTCGTCATTCAAGGAGGTGTTTCTGGTGGCAATTGATGCCCGAGGCTTTAAATTTAACTCTCGTGCAGTCTTTTCCCTTAGCATTTAAAAGTTCTTTGAAATGCTAAGTTTTAACAGGACTAGAACTCAACCGAGGACTAATCGATCTATGTCCTTGGGAGGTAAGTACCTTTCTCCAGACTCCTTTGCAATTTTCCTTTGATGTTAGTAGCTATATATGTGCATATTTCCATTGCCTTTCTGATTTTATACTATTCAAGTTACTGAGTGGTGTAGTGAAGAGTTTACCTATTAATTGGACTCTCTTCATACTGGATGTAATATTGGAATAATATCTTGACTTAAGTTTTTTTTTAAGTTACCGATTTCCATTGGATAAAAGCTAACCAATTTTTCCTCCCTGTAGGCTTGGATTATGCAGATCCCAAGAAAAAGAGCAATGTCTTAGGAAAAGTTCTCATGTTAGCTTCCGTCTTTGCATTATGCATTTTTATGCTTAAAAGATCCCCAACTTTGAACACCCCAAGCCCGGTAATTCTCTACTGCTGCTAATGAAATCATACTTATTTAATTTTTTGGACCTTTTGATATTCTTTTCAAAATAACATAGCCTTAATTGCACACTGCAAACATCTTGTATGCAGCCTCAGGAATTTTGAGTCTACAGATTAAATGTAACTTTTAAGTATCAGCAAAAATGTTGAAGAGAAGTGTGTTAGAATACCTCAAGTACTGGGAAAGCTATATCGTGGATAAAGGCTCATTGTTGTTGTTATTGTTGAAAGCTTTAGGCTAAAATGAATTTTTTGACCCATATTTTCTATTTATAAAACAAAAATTGATCTGTCCTTAATGCAGTTTTAACGCTGTGCATACAGACTGGCTAAAATTACATTTGGACCTCGTTGTGGCTTGCTTTAGTGACCTACTAATGGAAGCAGGCTTGTAGACAAACTAGTTAAATGAATATTTGACATTTGTGTAATTTACTGGCTTGGGAGCTGACGGTTTTGTTGACCCTTTTCTTTTGAGTGCATGGCAACAAGTCAGTTTTGTAGTGTTAAGTAGTTTGTAATTTCATCACTCGGATTCGAGTCCGATTCTCGCTAGGATGATGCGTAGTTTCTGTTTCATTATCCCTTTGTGCTTCCTATGTAAAACTTACGTGTCTCTTAGATTTGGCTAGCCTCAGAGCAATTCATATGAAGTTAACTTTATATTTGCTTGGATTTCTGTTATTGCAGTTCTCTCATTTCGAAGATGGTGTTACTCATGTATTAGTGACTGGTGGTGCCGGATATATTGGTTCACATGCTGCTTTACGGCTTCTTAAGGACTCGTATCGAGTGACAATTGTGGTAATTTTAATACATAATTTGTATACCAGTTATCCAAGGTCAATATTGAGCAGAAATGATTGTATTCCACGATTTAATAGGACAATCTGTCAAGGGGAAACCTCGGTGCCATAAAAGTCCTACAAGAACTATTTCCAGAACCTGGGAGGCTTCAATTTATATATGCCGACTTGGGTGATCCAAAAGCTGTATCCTGATTGATCTTTTGTTTTTCAGGCCTAAAACAATCTCTTAACGGTTAACCTTTTTTGTTAAATCCTTGTTATAGTAAATTGTACCCTTGACTCAAATATTCAGGTGAACAAAATATTTTTGGAAAATGCATTTGATGCCGTGATGCATTTTGCCGCTGTTGCATATGTCGGAGAGAGCACTCTTGATCCACTCAAGTAAGGACAGAATTCATAGTTTGTTTTCTTCTCTTCTTTACTTCACAAGATTCTAGTTTGGAATTGAGTGTTTTGGATTACATCAAGTTAACTGAGATGTTGATTTTTCCATTTGGTGTATCTCTTTCCAATTAGTCAATCTTTCTCTTGCATGTTTCAAACTTCACCGAACTTGATATCTGACACAGGTAGTTCTGTGTATCTCTTTGTCCTTCGTGTTCTCATGCTAAGTCAGAAGAGCAGATCTTTTAGTATAACCTAACTCATCATAAAGGTATCGATAGGTCATTTTAAAGATGAAATGGCATTTATTTAATCATAATCATCTGGCCGAATATGGGATAATTACGTCTTGTCATTTTATTGGCACAAATGTTATAAGTTCCTTTGGCTATTGGCTGTGAGAATATTTACTACGAATTTTTATTAGCAACTGCTAGAATCAGGGGTTTCTTTTTTATTTTTTTTAATTTAACTTTTGTTTCCAAGAGGCACTAGTGAAGAAAAATGGGTTACAAAACTTGTTAATTTATTAGAAGAGGTTTATTCTCTGTCTTCAGATGTCTAATATCTAGTTAAAAGGATACTTATTGGTGGATTATATTAGTGCTAAATTGTATTATTCATGAGCAAATTCTGATTTGCCTATTCGATCAATGAATTAGTCTGGCATCAAAGCAAATTTTGAGCAAATCATGTGTTCCTTGGTGTCTTTCCTTTTCTTTCTTAAAGAACAATTTGTGTTCGTATTATAATATTCTTTACTTTGATAATGTCGCAAAATCACAGGTATTATCACAATATCACGTCAAATACCCTTGGCCTGTTGGAGGCTATGGCTATTCATGGCGTAAAAACTTTAATCTATTCTAGTACATGTGCAACATATGGGGAGCCAGAAAAAATGCCCATTACCGAAGAAACACCGCAGGTAAAGATTCATAGAATACTATTATTTAAACTAATACAGAAACATCATAGAATTCAAGTTTTTCGCATTTCTGATTGAAGCGTATTATTTGCAATTTGTATTAGCAAGTAGATATCTTTGGACCCTGTATGTTGAGTTTCTGACCCTTTGGTGTGATGCAGAATCCGATAAATCCTTATGGGAAAGCTAAGAAGATGGCTGAGGATATTATTCTGGATTTTCATAAAAATTCGGACATGTCTATTATGATTTTGAGGTATGAGTTAGTCCCAACTTTTGTTGCTCCTTATTTTTGGTTAAGCAGTTGTTTTATGCATCTCACAACCGTATTGTCATGCATAAATGTTGGCTTCTATTGCTGCATTATGGTCTGTATATTCTGTAGATATTAATATACTCCCAGACAATCTCTGAATAACAAGTCCTTTGCCCATATCTTAATGCATTATGTGATGTAGAATGCTTGATTGATTTCTTGTTTAATGTTTTGCTTTTGTGTTATCCTTCTCTATAATTGCCTAGAAGGATTTTCAATTTGCACTTGTATCTTACTGGTTGCGCATGTGAAATTTTGCTCTCTACTGACATACTCAAGATGTGTTTATATAAAGGCCTGAATCGAGGCGACAATCTTGCTACCAATAAAAAGACCATCCTCTCTAACTTTAAGCTTTCGTGCAGGTACTTTAATGTAATTGGTTCAGATCCAGAAGGAAGGCTTGGAGAAGCTCCTCGACCTGAACTTCGTGAGCATGGAAGGATATCAGGTGCTTGCTTTGATGCTGCTCGTGGAATCATTCCTGGGCTTAAGGTCGCTACTGTCCTACGCTATGAATTGCATGAGTTCTAATTATTGTTTATATTCCAGTCTCAAATACGTTAAAGAAAAGTCAAGTGGCATTATGATATATGGTTAGCTGTATGGGCTCAGGAGAATTAGCATGTGGTTTTCTCCCCTGGGAACTAGTTGGATTTCATTTAACAAGGGAAATCTGTTTGACTGCATAGGTAAGAGGAACCGATTACAAGACAGAAGATGGCACCTGTATCCGCGATTATATTGATGTTACTGATCTTGTCGACGCTCATGTTAAAGCCCTTGAGAAGGCAGAAATTGGAAAAGTTGGAATCTACAATGTTGGAACAGGGAAAGGTAGGAAATGATCAGTGTGCGTCATTATCATTTGATTGGATGGTAATTGCAATTTCTTAATTCGGGTGTTAATTTTTTGGTTTTATTAGGTCGATCTGTCAAAGAGTTTGTGGACGCCTGTAAAAAGGCAACTGGAGTAGATCTTAAGGTCGACTACCTTCCTCGTCGGCCTGGTGATTACGCTGAAGTATATAGTGATCCTACCAAAATCCGGCAAGAATTAAACTGGACGGCTACACACACCGATCTGTTGGAGAGTCTGAAGATCGCGTGGAGATGGCAAAAGGCTCACCTGAATGGTTACAGTACCAGTAGCATCGCCACTCGGGCCAACATATAGAGATTAGTAGCCATACAAGCACTGACAAGGAGGTTCAAGCTTATATAGCCTAATTTTACCCCATTCTGACTTGTCTTTATAGAGAGAAGGGGTCTAGGCCTGGATTTTGATACCCCACTAGCTATTCTTTCTCAAGAACTGAATCCATGGCAAATACAGGTTTGTAATTTGTTAGGTAAAGCAGCCAATATCACTATTACTCTCATATAATTTATCCAGTAGAAATGTGTTTGTTACAGAATAATTATCAGTGAGGTATAGTTAAGTTATTCAGTTATTCTTTCTCATTCTCTGTTCATCACCTGGAACATGGTTTCTGTTCTTTTCCTTCATTCGCTTTCGAATCTGTGCACATCTTTGTGGTGATTATTCAGGATTGGAAAATATCCATGCCTCATCGGATAAAAGTGATAATTCGTGACACGATAATATTATTTTTTTTGATAGACCGACATAAGGTTTTGTTATGTTGAAATCAATATGCTAAATATTAAAACATCATTCCTAATTTCGAAATCACCAAATACTACCTGATTGGGGCTCTTAATCGCATAATTGTCACTTGTACGTTCGTACAAGGATTTTGTTGAACTGCAAGAGTTGAAGGATGTCTTGTTTGTTTGTTTCAATGAGATAAAAACGTTAGGAAGTAACATTCCAATTTCCAACTCCCAACTCTTCAATCATTCACAGAAATCATCCTTTCCTTCAGCCTAAACTTCAGAATCAAAATCCATGGCTGGAGGAACCCTAATTTTACACTCGCATAAGCGGATATCTCTCTATCCCTCTTCCCATGATCGTTCCAATATTCCGCCACGGTTGAATTCCAATTCCGATGAATTTCCGAGTCGGGCCTTGAAAACCCCACGCGCCGCTGACTACGACGACATGGATTCATCAACATTTTCTGCAGCTGTTATAGCCGAGAACGAAGATCTCTTGACGCTAATCCTGGTTTGTTTGCCGGCTAGGTCTCTTATCCGGTTCCAATCTGTTTCAAAAAGATGGCTATCGATCATTTCCGACCCCTCTTTCCGGCGGCTCTGTTTGTGGAGGCACACTGGCGCTCACTTTATGTACGGGAGGGGGAAAGACGGTACGCCGGAGTTCAATTTTATTTCCCCTAGCGAAGCTTATGTAGATTCTATGACTTGTACTGTTTCTGGGTTAACAAAATTGTTTGATGTGAGTCAAATTCTGGGATTTCATTCATGCAATGGGTTAGTGGCAATTGCTTTAAAATCTGGTGATAATCATGTAAATTTATTTGTGTATAACCCGACTACTGGTGAACATAGGCTTATACCGTTGCTTTATGTTCATGTTATCAATTACGATAATCTTGACCGAGGAGAAGGTGGTTATGGTTTTGATTTGAGAGACTATATTGAGTACGATCCAGAGACTAATGAGGTCATTCCTCCGGTGATATGTCCGCAAACACTTTCTCGCTTTGTTGCTTTGAACATTGCCTTCGATCCTTTACAATCTGAGCACTACAAATTGGTCTTTGTTTGGTGTGATGGTCACTATATTAGATTCTCCTGCTATGCATCTGATACTGGGATTTGGAAGACTAGCAGGTGGTTCCTTGATGAAAAACCGGCGACAATCGGCCCTTATATTCAGAAGGGAGTATTTTGGAATGGAGATCTTTTCTGGACTTATGTATGGTGGCATACGTTATGCTTTGATTTAGAAACTGGGGATGAGAACCCAGTCATGCCTTCAATTCCAGGAGGGTTTATTACAATTCCAGGAGCACAATTTTGGCCAGACGTGTATTTTTTCGGGGTAATTGGTGATGACTTGTGTCGTGTTGGGCTGACAGAGCCTCATTCGTTGACATTTCGTGTTTACTGTATGGAGATGGATTATTCAAGTTGGAATTTGAAGTATTCGTTGGACATCTCTCCTGTAACTACTTTGTACCCATCAATGGCAGTTGAGGAGCATGATCCTTTGTTTGACATTGAGTGGTGGAATTGTAAATTCTCTGTGCTTAATTGTCTTGTCACTGAGAGGAAGGAAAAACCTGAGTTGCTGATGTCAATGCGAGGGAAAATCATTTCTTTTGATACAGAGGGCATGGTTGTGAACGAGATTGCTGATGTTGTGCCGGAGACTGCTAGTGAAGTTCCACGGCAATCAATTTCCCGGTTTGAATGGATGCATACTTTCGAACACATTGAGACTTTTGCTTCTGTTTGAGTCGTTAGCATGGTTTCTTATTCATGGCCTTATAAAAGAATTCTAATCATGGATACATTTATGCAGTATACCATGATTTCAATGGGTGTTTAGTAAGGATCTTGTTACAAGTTGTAACTTCTTTTTTTGTTTTGGGGAAAAATGTGAACTTTCATATAATAATAAAGCAACTCAGGTCATATTTACACCCAAATTACAAATTTACATCTGACTTACTATAAACAAGACCAATTCACTTGAGCCACTGATTTACAAGCTGAGTTTCAATTGCGGTAAATCTTCTACATGTCCCTAAGCAATCTCCAGTGCACCTCCTGCTTAATCTGTTGAAAGATGTTGTCAACCTGTCTCTTTTCATTTCTGAAAAGTCTGCCATTTCTTTCCTGCCAAATCTGATACATTAGAGCCACTAAAACAGCGCACCAAACCTCATATTTCATCTTTGTACCCTTCCAAACAAGCCTTGCTCTTTTACTCCACCCAAACCAATCTTTAACCATCTGCTTAATACCCAACCAATCTGTGACGTCAGAGAGTAATTCAGCAGACAGCTCATAGCTAAAGAACAAATGTTGATGACTTTCGGGGAAAACTTGACATAATGCACAAAGTGGATCTACCACTGAGATGGACATCATGTCAAATCTATCCTTGGTCAGCAACCTTTCCTTCCAAACGAGCCATGCAATGAAGACGTGTCTTGGCACATTTAACTTAGCCCATATAACACTAGCTTCCTGCACCTTTGGATGAACCCCTTGTAACCATTTATACCCAGCAGAAATGCTATACAGACCATCAAGATTAGCCTTCCATTTATCATCCACAAACCCCAACTTTCCTAAGTCCCTTATATTTAGTATTTGTTTCCAATGTCAACTGGCATCAGATTTGGCTTCCACATTCCAAATATTTTGCCCATTAAGATAAACCTCATGCATCCATTTAACCCATAACGTATCCTTTTTGCTAGCTATATGCCATACCTGCTTCAATATGGCAGCTCTATTCCAGTTTTTAATATCTCTAAGTCCCAGTCCCCCCTCTTTCTTACTTCTACATATAATATCCCAAGCAACAAGAGAGGTAACATGTCCAGACTGTTTTCTACCCCAAATAAATTTGCGACAAATCCTGATAACTTGCTGAATTACATACTGAGGCAATATAAATGTAGAAGCCCAATGGACATGCATGGAAAGCAGAACAGAGTTAGTAAGTTGAACTCTACCTGCATAGGACATATTTTTCGTACTCCAACATTTTAATCTGGCCATCATACGCTGTATCAAACTTTCACATTCAGATTTCGACCACTTCTTAGGCGAAAAGGGCACCCCTAGATATCTCATAGGGAATTCATCCTGGAATCCAGTAACTTGACATAGAATATGCCTTTTCTCCGCTGACACCCCACCAAAGTAGATTTGAGACTTTTGCATATTAGGGCACATTCCTGTGACTTTCGAAAAATCTTCGAAACCTGCAATTAACTGCTATATAGTATTAACATCAGCTCTACTGAAAAGTATTAAATCATCAGCAAAATATATGTTTGTTAACTGAAGATTTTTACACAATGGATGAAATTTAAAGCAAGAAGATTGAGCCACCATCTTCAGTCTCCTTGTCAGATATTCCATAATCAAAACAAACAGTAACGAGAAAATTGGATCCCCTTGCCTACGCCCTCTCTGCCCTTCAAAGTATCAAACCAGTGATCCATTAAGAAACAAAGAGAATGCTGCTGCCGTTACACATTCCATAATCCACCTTGTAAATTCATCAGGAAAGTCATATCCTTGAAGCATCTCCTCTATAAACTTTCCACAGTATCGTAGGCCTTTCTGATATCAATCTTCATTAAACATCTATCCGAGATGTTCTTCCTCCTGTAAAGCTGTATGAGCTCCTGTACTATCAGAACATTATGAAGCATTAACCTGTTACTAACAAATGTTGTCTGATTTTCATTAACTAACAGTGCTATTACATCCTTCATTTGTTCACATAATACTTTAGAAATGCATTTATAGATCACATTGCAACAAGCAATGAGTCTATACTCTCCAGCATTCCTAGGATCATCATTTTTAGGGATCAAGGCTAACACCGTTGCATTAATGATGTAGACCTTCCTGAGGAAGCTCCCATCATGACACCTAAGTCTTCTGGTCCTATGACACGTTCTAAAGCCAAGAAGTTGCAAGAAAGTATCAATGGTCTCCTACGTCAGACGGAAGTACCTATACCGAAAGAGTATGACGCTAGGTTGATCAATTTCCTTACCATTCAAGTTTAGTGTTTTCTGATCCTTTCAGGTATGGTTTGCGGGGAAATAATTCAACTTGCCCGAGGAAAAATGATGTTTGCCGAGAGAATCAACAAATGCACCTATTTGGCTAACCCGTTTGCCGGGAAAAGGTTATTACTCGGACAACTCTTCACCCAGGCCCAATACATTTTATATATACACATTATCAGAGGTAGAACCCAGCTTGTCCGGGAGATTTTGCCATTTTCTGAGAGTTTTCTCAAAACGGCCCATTTTGTCGAGTCAAGAACCCGGGAGAGCCGTTTCAGCTTGCCGATTTGATGTTGTGGCCTGATTTTTGGTTTATTTTGATGTTGTAAGTTATTTTAAGTGTTAGAACCTGAAAGAGGGATTCCTTAGGGACCAGGAAAGGTCCACTAAGTCAAGTAATTATTTTTCTAAGATTTTCTAATAGTATAGGAAAGTTAGTTGTATTATTTTAGACATAGTGGAACTAAAAAAAAAAAAGAAAGGGATAAATTCCATAGCTTTTCAAAGCTTGAAACCGAGAGATCATCAATGGATTGTCCATGGTGAAATCTTGCAATTCCAAGGTTGGACTTTGGTGGTTTGCACTCCGGGAGTGTCAAGCAACGAGTATGGCAGCTAGGGATGAGTTTGGTCTGGTTGTTGGAGCTCTCTAATCAAGTTTGTAACAATCTAAGAGGAGCCAAGGTCGTTGAATCCATTTCCTTTGCGATTGTTAGTGATTCCTTTACTTTGGTTGTTGTTATCAACTTGGTAGCATACTAAGCTCTTTTTCCATTCAGATCTCATGTCATATTGCTTTTTTAGGTGTAGTTTTGGTGGCTGCATCTATTTGTGTATCGAATTCCTTTATTACTAAGTAATCTAGCCAAACCGTGAATTGTGTTCATGGTTATATCTTGCGATTGATCCTTGCGTCTTTGATTCTGCCTGTGTGCTCCATGTGTTTGACTTCATATTTTCTGAAAATCCTATCTTGTAAGTCTAAAAGGGTTTAGTAGGCCAGGAGTGTCAATTTATTAAGCCAAACATTGCATGACTCCAAGTTGTATCACTTAGGGTCAGTCTGTTTTTTCAATTTTTGTTTTAGTACTTTTAGTTGTCCAAAGATTGTGAAATCTGGTGGGTTTTAACTTTAGTGTATTGGAGATATTGTGTCCAAATTTCAGGTCAAAATAAATTCGTTTACTATATAAACGAATCCAATATATTTTCTGTGGCAGATTGGTCCAAATCCATTTAGCTACTGCCCATTTTGGTTACTGGGGTTGTAGGCGTCCAAAGGCGCTCAAAATTTGCCATAAATTTTCATTCCATAATATAAGTATTGTGTCAAATTTTCAGGGCAATCCGACGTCTTTGCCTGTGGTTCATTTTTTTGTTATAATTACTACTTTCGTCGGTTTTGCATGTATTCTGAAAATCAGTTTGGTTACTGGGGTTTTTGCCACCATTCAGTGCTTCATTGTCTATTAATAAACTTCTGAAAGAGTGTTTGTGGAATGGTAAAGTTCGGGGCAAGGGTTACCTTTCATATCCATATGTTTCGCTTCCGATTTTGAGAATTTCGGGTAGAAATCTACATCAATTAATCTGCTTAAGCATTCTTTTTGCACCAAAAAACTTCTGCACAGCATCTTAAAGTTTTACCAGTGATTGCCCATGATTTTTTTTTAAAATCATTTGTGAAACCGTCAGGACCTGGACTTTTATTGCCATCAATGCTCCTTATTACCGTCTTAATCTCCTCAGCAGTAACAGGTCTGATAAGATCCAATTGCTGTTGACAATTCAGTTTAGGCCCTTGCTCAAATACTTGTCTATCAGACTTCTCTCTGCTAACTCTTCTCCCCCGTTGATCCTTAAAGTAAGTCAGGAAATGTTGCTCAATTTCTTTCCATAAATTCTGAATATTCCCACTTTCATCAACATATGACCAAATACAATTCTTCATAGCTCTTTGTCTAACTTTCGCTAGAAAAAACGTAGAGTTGCTATCCCCCATTTGAATCCAATCCTCTTTTAGCTTTCTGCGCCCAAAATAGTTCCAGAGCTTTAACCATTGTGATATATTCTTGCAACTTTACTTTCTCTTCTTTCTGTAACCCTTCATTCTCAGGATCAACATGTAGACTATTCTGAATCTCAGTGAGCTCCTTGAACCCTTTCTGCTCCCTGTTTTGTATATCAGAAAACCTCCTTCGATCCATCTTCTTAAGCACCCCTTTAATTCGCTTTAGTTTCTGCACTAATTGGAACATGTTAGTGCCTTTAACCTCCCCTTTCCAGCTAACCTCCACAGAAGACATAAAATCCCGGTCAAGACTCCACATATTGAAATATTTGAAAGATTTTGGGGCTTTTCTGAACTCGGCATCAGTCTGGATTACAAAAGGTGTGTGATCAGAAACACCTTCAGCAATGACTGTTGCAATTGCTCTCTCGTATGTCCGCAATCACTCCTCATTGACCAACGCTCTATCAATTCTTGAAAGAATCCTAGAAGCTCCTGTTTATTTATTTGACCAAGTAAATAAGTGACCTTGCTGCTTCATATCCTGCAAACCACATTCCTCTACACAATATTGGAATTCTTGGATCTCAGCCAACGTAACAGGGTTCCCACCAAGTCTTTCATCCAATTTCAGAACGTTATTAAAATCACCAACTAAAAGCCAAGGACCATTTATACTCTTTTCAATATTAATGAGCTCTTCCCATAATCTTAATCTATCAAGCCCATGATTACTAGCATAGATAGCCGTCAGGAAAAAAGCTTGATTTCCAACCCTAACCATGCAATGTACTAACTGTTCTGTACTACTTATCACAGTGAGATCAACATCCCCTTTTCTCCAAAGTACACATATTCTACTTCTAGAACACTGATCACAATTCATATAATAAGAAAATTGCACCCAATTCTTTCCAAATAGATCCTTTCCCCTATCTGCGGTCAATTTGGTCTCCATCAGGCAAACTATATCTATATTATAAACACCCACCAATCTAATTATTTCCTTTTGCTTAAGGGGGCTATTCATGCCCCTAATATTCCAAGAAAAAATACTTGTCATGTATTACCTGGATCAGGGGGTTTTGGGGCTCTCATATCATCCTCCTTTAGCTCTATGACTCCATTACTGCTCGTGCTAGCCTCCTTTGCTATTTCCAAAATCTGGAATTTTGATTGCAGTATCATAATGTTCTGTGGTTCCTTATCAATACCTCCTACTTCTTTAATCTTTTGCTGAATATCCACTTTCACTTTCTGGATAGGATTCTTGTCTTCTTCATCGCTCCCAGTGGATTGAACTTCTTCCTCACGAATACAAACTTCTTGCCCTTTATCCACTCTTTTCCATTCTTTTGTAGCGCTGATTTTTGGTTTCACTATGTCCTCCTTTGCTATCTTCTCCTCTCTCATGACTTCTTTCTTCCTACACACTTCCCCTCCATGTCTATAACCTCTGCAACATGAGCATTGAGTGGACTCAGAAATGGGAGAAATTAACAGAAGGAAATCATCATATTCATAATCGATACTTAATCCCTCCATTCCAAAATAAGTGTCGTTCTCATTTTCAATGCACTTTCTGTCAAAAATTTTCAAAATTACTCTCAAAAGAGTTGATGCTATTGGAGTTCCATGTTCATCGTGTGGGTTGGTTGAGGATATTCAAGTAATTTTATTACCCTATTTAAGAGTTTCTTAAACTATGTGCAAAGTGTAGGACGACACTTATTTTGGAATGGAGGGAGTATTACATTAAGCTAATACACTTTACCAAATACACAAACGATACCGTTACTAAATTGGGTTATTAGCTAACAAACATCAAGGTGGCCCGTTAACAAGTTCGGGAAGCTGATTAACTTTTTCGGGCCAGAAGTGGCCCATTTAGCCTGCTATTGGAGTTCCATGTTCATCGTCACCAAACAAACCCCAATTAAACTCTTTCATTTGGGGAAATTTCAATCACAGTCACAGAGGGATTTTCAATCTGAAAAGTTTCTGTATTCTTGAATTCCTGATTCTTTGCGAAGCAGCGTTTTTTCTTGGAAGCAGGAGGTAATTCTTTCGGAAGTTTTCGTTTTTATCGTTTATTTTTTTATGTTCAGATTTTTTACTTGTATCGAAACTGTGTTCGCGTTTAAAGATGTGGGCATTTTGATATTGATGTTCTATTTTAGAGTTTTCTTAACCTTGAATTTGAGTTACGGTGTGTTTCCTTTGAGAATTTTCGTGTGCCTTAAAAACCATTGTAGTTTCTTCATTACTGTTAGCTTGTTGGTGCTTATTGTTGGGTCTTTATTCCGAAGTATAGGGTTATGTGATTATTACTTTAGGGTTCGTGGTTTGGTGGTCTTTAGCACCCGAGAATTTGAGATTCTGTGTTTTTGTTTTGCTTTAAACTTAATTTTTTCTCTGTTTGTTTATTTGCTTTTGGAAGCACTTGAGTTTACTGTGGCTGGTTTTGAGCATCTTTCTATACCTAGTTGAGTTAGATTCACAAGTTTTTTTCCCCTGCACTGTAATGCTGTTTTTTGTTTCCTAAAATCTGAAACATAGTCTGGAAGACTGGAACTGAACCCATTTGGTTATTATTTCAGAGAATCCCTGATTTCTCCCTAATTGCTGGGAATTATCTTGTGATATGGAAAGCTCGATTGCATTGAGGGCTTCTTCAGATAATCCCCCGTGCTTTGATGTCAGAGATGCAAGTCCCGTTGATAGGATAAGCAATCTGCCGGAGCCGATCATTTGCCACATTCTATCATTAATGCCCACATATTCTGCTGTTGCAACTAGCACTTTATCGAAGAGTTGGCGCTACCTCTGGACTAAAGCCAACGCCGTTCAGTTCGATGCTTGGTCTTGTAGCTTCGATGATGATATTTATTTTGAGGACGTTGTCAACAAGGTTTTGACCCAACTGAAATCTAAACAACTGGACCTTTTTCATCTCTTTTGGTACAATGACGACATTGATCCAGCTACTACTAGTAAATGGATAAGCGAAGCAATTGCTCGGAATGTTAAGGTTCTGTATATCAATGATGAATTTCCCACTGATGAGCCTATTCAACTACCGCGTTCCCTTTTCACGTGTAAGACATTAGAATCTCTCAGCTTAGGAGGAGATTTCCTGTTTGAGGTCCCTGGTACTGTTCATCTTCCCAAACTAGGAGTCTTGGAACTTAATTACGTTTTCTATGAATCTGACAAGGCCTTTCACGAGTTTATATCTAGTTGTCCTATGCTCTATTCGCTTAGCATTTGTCGGAGGAAGATCAACGATGGCTTGATCGTTTGTGCCATATCTTCCTGCTCGCTTAGAGTTCTTGAATTGGACTTCCATGATGATGATGACCCCTTGTGCCAGCAGCATCTGAAAATTGAGGCCCCTGCTCTTGAACGCCTCATTATGAGAGATGAATTTTCGGTAATGTTCTCATTGGAAGGGCTATCCTCTTTGAGAGAAGCAAAGCTTGATCTGTATGATTGGGACTGTGATAGTGATGCATGCAATTTGGTTGTTAAGCAAGTTCAAGCAATGAATTGCGCGAAGTTGCTGACGTTAACCGGACGGACTTTATTTGCTCTTACCCATGCCACCACTAGACTGTCAGCAAAGTTTGAGAGATTAACCAGATTGTACTTGGATTGCGAGGGGTACAACGGCTGCAAGTGGAGCTTCCCCAATGACTTGTTGGATTGTTCAATGAAACTAGAATTTCTACACATCACAAAATGGTGTTACAGAATAAATGGTGCGCAGGATGAAATTTGTTGGAGGAAACCTTCCAAGGTCCCGGAATGCCTTTCAAACAGTCTGGCACAAGTTTCATTCAGTGGATTTGAAGGCCTTAGCGATGAGTTAAAACTGATAAAGTATATACTAAAGCATGGTGTTGTGTTGAAATGTGTGAATTTGGACTCCAGGGATGCCCCAGATGATTTCAAGAAGAAGATATCGGTGTTCCCCAGAACCTCTCAATCCTGTCAAGTCAAATTTTCTTGAAATGGCTGCAATGGTATGTTTCATGTAATCATATTCTTTTTTGGAGTGTTAAGTTTTTGTTTCCTGGATGTTGCTTCAATGCAGCTTTGATAAAGTGGTTGCAGGACAGTGTAAACCTTGAGGGATATTAATCTTAGCCATTTCACATTTCCTATCATAAATTATCTGTTAGTACAAAGAACGAAGGCTATTTTTAATTGTTTATTTCGCTTAAGAAATTTAGCTTCATTTGGTTGTGATTATGTTTTGTTAGTTGCTTTGAAAATTTCATGTTTATTCATCAAAATTCAATGGGGATTTACATTGCAGTGTTTTTAACTGTTTGTATAATTATATCTGATCCTGCAAATTTGGCCATGAATTTTAACCTCATAACATGTCCCGTGGGTACATAATCTTTGGGTTGGATTTGAAGGATGAAATGTTTCATTGGATGGTTTTACCAGAATATCTAGCTCGCTCACATGTAGGAGTTTTGGATTACCTTTTTTGTGTTTTTGATGTGGCTGTAACAGGGGATTGTCTAGCTTTGGTGGATTTTATTGATGGCATGTTTTGGGTGATGAAAGAATACGAAAATGTGAATTCGTGGGAAATTTTGTATAAATTTCAGTTGTGTCAATGGAGTTCGGATCAAACGTGACTGGGTTTAGAAAGAATCTCTTTAATGACAAGCTTGTTTCTTTTGATCCACAGGAGTGGAAGGTTTAAGGATCTTGAGATTTATGGCGAAACTAGTTCTATCGGTGCTGCAGATAATCTGGAAAGCCTAGTCCTGCTTGAAGGCCATAGATTTTAGAGGAAATGTTGCAGATTATCTGGAAAGCTTAATCCTGCATGAAGACAAGGCCAATTTAGTGTAGGTTTTAGAGGAAATGTTGTCAAGTGTGGGGCTGGTCTTTGTTGTCAAGTGTGGGACTGGTTTTTCTTATCAGAGTCCACATTGATTTGTTCCAGTTGATATATGCTCTTTTACTCCTTGATTTTGTTAGCGAAATACATATTGATATTATCCTATTTACTAGCAAATGCTGCTGGTGACAAAAAACGAATCATTTTGATCCCATTATACAAAAGCTACATTCATTTTCCTTTTGCTGTTAGTATCTCATTTTTCATACTCGTGTTTGCCTTTCTATGATGGAAGATCTTAAAAGAAATTGTTGTGAAAACTGGCATAGATGAATCTTGAAAATTGAAATCCTAGAATATGATCTAGGTGGGTCAGACTGCCGGCTTTTCTCTATCACTTGAGAGAGCAGAAAAAATGAAGTGGCACATATCCTTAAAGACTAAATTTACACCCGAAAATCATTCGGGAGAGAAGAAGTATTGTTTCTATAAGTCAAACAAATTGGGAGGAAGTATTCTTGAAAGAGATTAAAAAAAAAAAAAAAAATTAATCAAGGGCCAAGTATGTGTAAAGAGACAATAGACATTTAGGAAAATGAATTAATCTTAAATACACAATTTGGTGACGAATAATAACAGCATTTGAATAACCAAAAAAAAAAAATAAAAAATCAAAACAATCACTCAGATTTGGTGAGAGCTTTCTTCCTCTGCCCAAGCATGTAGGTGCACATGTGAGGACTACCTGCACAGCATCATTTGGTAGAGCAAAATCAGCCCCAGAAGAAACAGAAGATAAAAAAATAAAAATAAAAAATTAATAGAACGAGTTATTTTAATGGATGTCATGCCTGGAACATAAACACCAAGAACGGCAAATGCATCCATCCCACAAAAATACTCTACATTGAGTTTTCAAATTTGTACTAAACTTAAAACTTAAAACTCAATATGGACTATTTTTGTGGGACGGAAGGAGTAATAATCGAACGAGAAGTTCCACTTGCTGGGCATTCGCACACCGTATTTACCCAGATTCCTGAAAAATTGTTAGATATTCAGTCAATCTATTGTTAAGTAAATCCACAAGATGAACATGTACATGATCGAAAGATGATGAACTGCAGAACCATGGTAATGTTGTACAATGATGTCAAAATCAACCTATTCTGATTCCGGAGGCTCAAACAGGACAGTCATTCAATGTAAGGAAGAATCCCTGGAAACTTCCACAATCTCAATAAGTAAAACTCTTTGATCAATTCTTTTCCTGATGGACTAGGATGTGAAAATGGAACTTCGCCAGAAACTATCATATTTTGGGTCACGAATCAGAACACAATCTTTAACAAAATCACATTTCAGAAAAGCAATCCAACCACATTTCATATTGGCATCACCATACATCGAATTTGAACCCATGATGAAGACATTATAATAGAGGTAAAGGAAACGTTACCTTGAACTGGTGTTTAATATCTCAACACAATCTCATTTGACAACATCCTTGAGCAACATAAAACTAGGAACGTGGGCAACTGCTTCATATTTTGCTGGGATATCATCAATTCTGAAATATTTCCATGAACCAGAGTTGGGCTCATAATAAAAGAAGGCACTTTTAGGAGACTGAAACATCAGTAGCCCTTTATCCTTCCGAAAGTTCATGGGTAAGTATGAACCAGGAGGCCACCTACAGAGACCCCCTACCCCCCATTTACAAAAGCCCGTGTCAATAGTCTTAAATATTGTCCAACTTAGGTGTTCCCTATCCTTCTCCAAAAGCCAAAATCTGGAGCTTATCTTAACAGTGAGTGCCAGTGCAGAAACTTAATCTACCTCTTAATACGCCCAAGCTCGCTTTAGATAGATATTCCCATTCCAACATTTTGGGACATGGAGGTGTCCGAATCGACTCAAATTTCTCTTTGCTAAAGTCAAATGAACATATCAACTCAAGCCAAGAAAATTCACCACACAGCCAATTAATAGAACCACTTAGATAGGTCACAAATTTCAGTTTTTTTTTTCCACAATTTGGAGCATGACCAATGGGTCATATTCTGGACACGAATAGTTTTCATCACCGTAGCTTACATTAATTTCGGATGGCTCAATCAGGTAAAGCATTCTCGAAACAAGTGAATCATCCAAGGTCCTGATCAATGGACATGGCTCTGCCCTGGCGAAGTGTGTCTTTGCAAAATGTGGGTCTGAAATGAGACGCCCCAAGGTTTACAAACACACTTGCACATGATGATAGCCTTAATGGGCAGTCTTAACACAATGTTGACAAAATTGGGTTCAGGTATATCCAGAATAGAAGTACCCGTTTGCAAAATCTTCTCGTCCGCTTGTATGATCTGTTTCTTGGTTCTGCTGCATGGCTTAAGGTCCCTTTTTCTCTTCATGAGTTCCAATATTTAAGGGAAAGAGAGATTCTTGGCAAGAAAGAATGTAAAACGCAAATGTTTGAAATTCCTTTTAACTTCTAAGCCTGTAAAGTAGCTTTTCTCTGTTTTATTATGAATAGTATGATTTTTTTACGCGCCAAAGTAATAGTCCTTACACGGCGGGAAGAGTATAGCGAGCCAAACGATTAAATGGCGGGAAAAACTGTAGAAGAAGAAACATACTAAGCACATAGGAAATTTGAAGGGAATTTCACCAAAATCATGATTTGGAAAAAGCCTTCAGGAGCAGTATCTCAATAAAGATCTCAATTTTTTCACTTAAAACTACAAAAAGACTCTCATCATGACGTCCAGCAAGAATTTCCCAGAAAACAGAAGCGCTGAAATGTAATCAATCATTATACAATAAAGAAATGTGTAGTCCGTAAACTTCAAGAACACGAAACCAAGAAAGAGTAGGAACAGAGAAACTAACTTTGGTTTTCTCCTGCCAATTTGAATCCCGAGCAACTGTGCAAATCTCAAAACAACGCCATTAAGCAAAAATATCAGATGCTTTCTTCTCTGCATATCGAGAAGTCTTCATAGTATTAAAGAGAATTGATGAATGGCCTGTTAAAGATGGCCAACAAAGACAAAGGCAGTGACAAAATTGGGACATCTTCGGTTAATTTGGTTATTAAACATTAAGAGCTCTCGCAAAATTTACATAAACATCAGGTAGTTGTGGTGGAAATTACAGCAGAGGTTGAAATCAATAATACAAAGATATCACTGGATTTGGAAAAGAGAAATGATGAATCTAGTTTTCTTACCTGAAATTATGACAGTGATGTCTTTCTCAGAAAAAAAAAAAAAAGGAAGAAACAAAAAAGACAGATTCTAGGTGGGATATGGTGGAAATGTTTGAAACTTCAAAGCATTCAACCAACCACGCTACAACTTTCAAAGAAAATACTGGAGATGGAACAGCAACACCATATCGCCGTTACACTAATAAATACAAAAAGGTTTTCATGGAGGATTGCTTTTCAAGAGAAGCCTCCACTCCTAAAGTTCTTAGGATGCCTCATCAATGAGGGTTTTTAGAATTTCTGGAAGAAGTATTAAACAGAATACATTACTGAATGAACTATCCATCACAAATTCCTGGGATTACATTCATTTGGACTATGTTTTATATGCACTAGGCATTAGAAGGAGAAATGAGCCATCAGCATCATTCATCAGTATCAACGAAAAATCAAAACATAATCTAGATTAATGTCTCTTTATATTCCTTCCCCATCCTGTCACCTCTATGTGTTGAAAAGAGTAACAAGTCCAGCTAGTGAGGATATCTGTTGATTATAAACCTGAATCAATATATTTGCGCAGTCATCTTAAGGCATTAAACTTAAGGCTCTAGCAAATGACTCATAGAAACTCATCTCTAAACAGTTGCTTCGTGGTAGTAATCTGTATGATCTTATATGCCAAGGAAAACGAATGAGATCCCTCATGCTTTTACACCAGTATTAATACATAACATGTGAAAACCAGGTTCTATAACAGAAGTGACACAAAATTAGGCATCAAGTTGTTTTCATCAAATAGGAGTCTCCTTTGCTAAGACAAAGCTTTATCACTTGATCAGGAAAACTGGTTTCATATATATGGTATCGAAGTCAGACCCATGATTAAGACAAATTATGACAAGCAAAGACATAAAGCATGATTTTGTTAAGACATTATAAGAGAGGCAAAGGACTCTTACCTTGAATTGATGTTTAAGCCTTAGCACACTTGCACATGATGATGGCCTTAATAGGTAGAGTTAGCACAATGTCTATGAGGACGGAATCGGGCACATCCAGAATAGAAGTACCCATTTGCTCAATTATCTGGTTTTCAAGAAGAGAAATTTTCAAGTGCATTTCACCAAGATATTAAGAACCTTCAGGAATAGATCGTGACCAAATTGGAGAAGAACCTCCACAAACAGACGTACCCATCAGTTAGACATGTTAAAAGCAGAGTAGCTATTTTCATAAACCATCAAAAAATTGAACTGCTCTATCCCATTATAGTAGACTACAAATAAGCTGTTTCTACAAATAAAAGTGACACCAAAACACAAGACGCCTGAAGATGGAATTCAAACAACAAAAGTGATAGTAAAATTTTGGGACAACCAAGTTGATTGTGTAGCAAGTATACAACAAAAGGCTATGGAAGTCTGGAAGCTATAGTGTAAAATGTGTTGAGGAGCTTTGGTTGGTCCACGCAAGCTGCAGAGAGTATCATAAATCTCCAGCTTCATCTGGGTGGTCAATGTTTGAGCAATCCTCATCCATGTGAAATACCCCAAGTTTTTCCACCAACAACATAGCTTTTGTTTCTTCTTCCAATTTGAACTCCGAACCCCTAAATACAGTACATTTCTAATCGATTAAGGTAACTGATGAGTAGCACATTAAAAGTAGCTACAATGACAGAAAGATGAATATGCCAAACTAGGCCAAAAGACGTATTCAGGGCTGACAGGAGAAATGCAAAAAATTACTATGCCTCCTAGATGAGATGACCTCAACATATTAGAATTTACCAAATCGGACCAAGTTGTTCTTCATTTACATTATTCACTGAAAAACTAACAAGTTCGCAGAAAAAGGCTATACTACATTCAAAAAGGCTTGTACTTTCTAGTATAGTTCACATCAGGCAAAAGGAGTTGAATATAAAGCTTCAACAACAACTCAAAAACTGAACCAGTGGGAATTAAGCAGTAACAATGAGCTTGTCATGACAATTTAGGAAAGGAAAAGACAGTAGTTAAAAAGCTAACCTTGAATTGACGTTTAATATCTCAACACAATCTCCCTCAACAACATCCTTGAGCTTGATAAAACTGGGAATGTGGGCAACTGCTTCATAGTATTTTTTGGTTTCACGAATTCTGAGATACTTCCATTTGTGTCTATCAGGGGAATAATAAAAGAAGGCACATTTTGGGAACTGAAACATCAGCAGCCCTTTGTCTTTCCGGAAATTCATAGGAAAAAACGATCCGCGAGGCCACCTATCACCGATGTCCATGGTGAAAAAAATTGTCTTGAATACATTCCAGGTTGTGCATTCTCCAGATTTCTCCAAAACCCAAATCTGCATCTCTCCTCTCCAGGCTATGCTATTGCAGAAACTCAACCTGCCTTCCAAAACTCCCAATGTCATATACATTTTATCTTCTCTTTTCCACATGTTGGTATATGAAGGTGGCCTGATTCCTCTGAATTCCTCATTATTGAAGTCAAATGACATTATCAACTCATCTTTCCACAATTCAGCAACACGGATCCAATATAAACGTCCACTCACATAAGTCACACATCGCATTTCCAATCCACTGTTGAGACCATGATCAATGCTTCTCCAATCACCAGTGCCAAGTGTGTGTACTTGAGCTACTATCTTTTTAGGCCAATCCTGATTTTCATTAAACATTCTGAGAACTTTATACTGCTTTCTTTTGCTACTGAACCCAAGTCCACACCACACTCTGCTGTTGTCATTGAAAACATGTGTCTGAGGAAGTTGTAAATACTCACCAGTAACTGGATTACACACCATCATAGGATTGTTACATACTGGATGAGACATGCAAAGATAGCCATTGCAAGAGTTAACAACCCGAAACTTGTGCTCTTTAGAAGGTGTCACCTTTACGCAAAGTCTTTTCAAGCCACTCTTACTACCAGAATGGCTGCAAGAACTAGACTTGGGATCAGTGCTGTTTTGGGGCACCATTTCGACATTGCGAAGGGGGATCTTCAACCGGGTATCCAGCTTCAAATTGACTCCACCTTCAGATTCTGGGAATGAATAGTTCTCAACATTGTAGCTTACATCAATTTCAGAAGGCTCAATTAGGTAAAGCGTTCTTGAAACTCTTGAACCATACAAAGTCCTAATCAAGGGACAGGGTTCTGCCCTGGCAAAATGATCCTTCGCAAAAAGAGGGTCCGAAATCAAACTGCGAAAAGATTTACAGACACACTTGCACATGACGATGGCCTTAACGGGTAGTCTTAACATAATCTCGGTAAGTATTGATTCAGTTATATCAAGAATATGAGTACCCATTTGCTCAATCTTATTGCCCGCTGCTTGTATGATCTGTTTCTTGGTACTGGAGCTTGGATCAGAGTCCCTTTTTGGCTTCATGCCTTGTTACAACCTGGAATCCTGAAGACTGAAATGGAGAGGAAAATGCCTGAGAAACATCTACCAACAATAATGAAAAACTAAACAGAGAGGAAACTCTAAAGGGCTTTTTCACCAGAATCTTGAGTTCGAAGAGCCTAAAGGAGCAGTAATATCAATAAAGTTCCAATTTTTTCACTTAAAACTACAACATACTCATCGTGACGTCCGGCAAGAATTTTGCCCAAAACAGAGCACTGAATTCAATCAATCATTATTCAAGAACACGACCGAATCCCGGGGGAAAAGAAGGAGAATGTATTAACAGGCTCAATGAGATATTAAAAATGTAAAAGAATAAGCAAATGAATCGTTCTTTTTACCTGAATTTGTGATGAATTTGTCTGTCAGGGAGAAGAAAGGGAGAATCTTGATCAGAAAGGGAGAATCTTGATTATCAGAATAAAAATGTAAAGAAGATTTGGTGGCAACTGGCAACGAACTGAATTTCTCTGTTGAGTTCTAATCTAAAGCCGCATGTGTACTAGAGTGCTACTTATATAGTAATAATAAAGCAGCTGCTTCTCCTCTGTGTGTGTGTGAGTTCCATTTTTCAATCTTTTTATCCCGCCTTGGTACTTTTAATCTGTGTTAGTATCTTTTTTTCCTAATTAAATTCCATGCCCTATGAGCAACCTATTTTATATCTAATGACAGTAAACTTCAGAAAATTAAATAATCCTTCCATTAATTTCAATAGTGCACGGCAAAGTGGACAATTAAAATGATGACGATAAAAGGGTAAAAAGAAAAAAAAGTTTAAATTATGTAATACTCCCTCCGTCTCATAATTATTGTCCAGTTTGGATTTTTGTTTCTAGTACAAATTGAACTAAAATTGAAAATCCAAACTGGACAATAATTTTGGGACGGAGGAAGTACAATTTATTAGTGATGAATCATTCTAGGAGGCAGGGTTATTATGGAAGAAATAGAAGTTTAACCGGGCAACATCTTGGATGAATTTGACTAAACATTAAGACTTCTTGCAAATTTACATAAACATCAGATGGTTTTTGGAGGAATCACAGTATAAGTTGAAACCCGGGTACGAGATATCACCCAATCCGGAAAAGAGAAATGATGAAAAGAGAAACCGGGGTACGAGATATCACGAAGTCAACTAATGATGAGCAAAGACAGTTCGATCAATGATTTTGTTATGCCAATGTAAGAGAGGCAAAGAAAACCTTACTTTGATTTTGTTATGCCAAGGTTATCCTCGAGCATGACAAAACTAGGAATGTGAGAAACTGATTCATATTTGGCTTTGACATGATAAATTCTGAAATACTTCCACCAACCAAATTTGGGCTCATAATAAAAGAAGGCACTTTTAGGGGACTGAAACATCAGAAGTCCTTTATCTTTTCGAAAATTTATTGGCCAGTATGAACCAAGAGGCCATCTATCATCACAACTCAAGTCAATTGTCTTGAAAATTTTCCAAGTAGCAAGCCCACCATTTTTCTCCAACGACCATATCTTGACCTCTTCCATGTTGATTATACCGTGGCACGGAGTTAATCTACCTCCTAGCATTTCCCAAGGTCATCTTAGATTGATCACTCCATCCCCAACTGGAGGTATATGGAGGCAGCTTCAGAGCTCCAAATTTCTCTTTGCCGAAGTCAAATGAATGTACCACCTCTGGTTTTCCGAGTTCATCAACAATCCAATATAGAGATCCACTTACGTAGGTCACAGATATCAGTTTTTTCTCTGTCCATATTGACAATGGAACCTGTCCAATGGCTCTCCATGAGCCCGTGCCCACTGTGTGTACCTCAGCCACCTGGCTAGAATAGAATTGTTTACCTGTAATCGGGCAACGACAGCGGTCCTATTCCTGTTTCCGTTTCCCTCTTCCATCAAAGATTCTAAGAACCTTATACTGGTTGCTAATATTACTAAATCCTAATCCACAGACCATATCTTTGACACTCTCATTGGATTCCTCTGTCTTTGGAAGTTTTAAGTACTCACCAGTAATTGGATTGCACACTACAAGAGGGTTGTTACGAACAGGATCACACAGGCAAAGAAATCCATTGCATGAATTCACAATCTGAAACTTCTGCTCTTTTGTGGTCACCTTCACACAACGTTTTTTTAAGCCACCCTTACCAGCACGGCTATTAAACTTGGGATCAGTGTTGTTCTGGGTCACCAGTTCAACATTGCGGAGAGGGATCTTCAACTTAGTGTCTAACTTCAAATTGACTCCGCAATCAGGGGATGAATATTCATCATCACTATCAACATCATAGTTCACATTAATTTCAGATGGCTCGATCAGGTATAGCATTCTCGAAACTCTCGAGCCACCAATGGTCCTAATCAAAGGACACGGCTCTGCCTTGGCAAAATGCCTCTTTGCGAAATGGCGGTCTGAAATTACGCGACGCCAAGGTTTACAAACACATTTGCACATGATGATGGCCTTAATAGGTAGGCTTAGCACAATGTCTATGAGGACGGAATCAGGCACATCCAGTATAGAAGTACCCATTTGCTCAATCATCTCGTCTGCTTGTGGGATCTGTTTCTTGGTTCTGCACGGCTTAGAGTCTCTTTTTCTCTTCATGACTTCCAAACTGCAACTCTTAATGCCAAAAGGGAGTGGAATGCCTGAGAAAAATTACCAGATGCACAGTCGTTTTTGGGAGTGAATTATGGCCAGGTGGCGGACAATACTGGAAAGATATGCTAACACAGAGAAAATTCAAGGGTCTTACTACATTCATGTTTGGAAAAAACCTCGAGGACCAGAATCTCACCAAGATCTAATTTTTCACTGAGACTATTTGTTTTTGTAATCCTACATAATCATGATCAACTTGGACAAGAATCACCCCACCCAGAAACGCCGCAGGTTTATAGTTCATACACAAATCACAGAAATGAAATCATGGAATTAACAAATGGGAAAAAGGAAACATGTCGGATTAGAGTTTTACAAAAGATGTTCCTACATTCAGTTCGGTGAATGTTTACTTTAAGGATGACAAGGGAGTTCAAATATGCATATTAGTAGTATAAAATATGACCCCAGAAAAAGTATAATGTAAACAAAAGAATCGCTTTTTTTATTTACCTGGATCTGTAACAGATGTGTTTCTGAGAGAGAGGAGAATCTTGGTCCGAGTAATGTAAAAGGAAATGGTGGAAGTCTTTTACTAACTTCTAAGCCTCTAAGCTTTTGCTTCTCCTTTTCTGATATGTGTTTTGTTTGTTGTATTAATTACCTTTTTACCTCGAAAACGTGAGACTCACATGGCGGGAACGGTTTGGCGGGCTAAAAAGATTACTCAAATGGCGGGAAAGGGAAAAATAAAAAAAGGACTTGTCCCGTATTCCTCCTCATCTATCGTTTGTCCCGTTTCTTGACCGAACAGGATCCGTTTCGAGAGATCCTAGTGGATTCAAACTTGTTACATCATCAAAGGAGTTGCCTTCCAAACTTGGCTCCGAACTACTAACCTGATCCACCTCTGCCGCCACAAATTCGTAGCCATCTTCCTCGAGTCGTCGCTGGTTTTCTTCTCTTCTCTTCCACACTCTCTGCTTACTTCAATTAATTCAAAACTCTTCGACCTGGTTGGTAGTAATTTGTATACTCCATGAACACCATCATCATCAAACCCTTAATTCTCAGAATTTGCATACAAAGAACATGTACTGGTGATCGGTTCATCACTTCATCTTCTTCATTGAGCAATATTAATAATGCACAACCAATTTTGGTCTACACAATGTTGGAAAAAAGATTTCCTTCTCTGTACATGAATGTTTGCTTCTGACAAAAATCAACTGGTTCACACTTGACAACCAAACTGAAATCCATGCAAAGGCAAAACAAGGAAAAAAAAATAATTCTTGTAGCTCTAAAAGAAAATAGCTGCTTTCTATCTACAAGAAAATGACATTATTTTCATTCAATTCCCTTTACCGAAAACTATAAAAGTTCCCTGAACTCTAATTCAGGGTGCATTTTTACAGATTGGAAATTGTAGAACTTATTATGCTACAGATCCCATATTTTCCCATTGACGAAGCATGAATTTGTATCGACGTCTCCAGTTGATTGATTCCGGCAGCCATGGCGGCTATGAAGCCCTAAAACCTGCAAGACAGAGCCTCGGGGTCTCCCGAGGGTAGACTCTCCGATGCTTAAGTCAGTAAGAGTATTCGTAAGAAAAGTATAAAGTTGGGTGCATAAACCGTCCCTTTGATGTGAGGGGTTGATCCCTATTTATAGAGCTAGGGTTACCTGCTTGTGAAATCCTTTTCTTAGTAAGAAAGTAATTAGCAACCGCTCTAGAACCTTCCAGGGGCCGGTTGAACCGTTTGCCGAACTTGGGCCGGTCTAGTCGCGGGCTATATCAACTTGGACTCGTCAAGTGCCCCTTATCAAGCCTATACTTCGAAGTCTGAAGATAGGGTAAGCTTGATAATATGAAGTATAAAATTTTTCCAAGTTCGGGAAGAACTGACCTGAATCGAGAACCTGCGACAGGTTAGCATCGAGGAGAAATCAAAGCACTGAAAGCATTAGTGCGTACCTTTTCGAATGTACGAGTCATAAAGAGCGATTTGACATGTATACCAATTTGTAAAGAAAGAGGAGTCATCAGTCTGAACGTTCGAGTGAGAAACCGGTAGGTGATAATCCTAATAAACTGTCCCGTAGAGATACTAAAACAGATGATCCGTTTCTTAGGGAGATGGCAAAGAAATGTAGTAGAAATTCCCACTACTCTGGCTATGGAGAAGTGTGATCGGCAACTTCTGAAGGTACAATAACTGCCAGAACGAAGAGTCTATTTCAAGACTGTGATTTACGTCATTATCTTAGATTTTAGTCGAAAAGTCCTCGCGCGATGACTCCCACGATATGGTCTAGGGAATACTGAAACAGATGGTCCACTTATAGAGAGAGTCAAGGAGGAAACGTAGTGGAGATTCCCACTAGTTTCAAAATATGTGCCATTAGTACTTGATGGTAACGGCCAAGATGTATCAATCGTTAAAGTGAGGAGTCCACCGAAGAACTGTGACGTGTGTTTCTAATCAAGAGGTGAGGGACCCAACTCTCGAGAGTAACTACAAAGTAATGCATCGAGAAGCATCGTGAAACAAAGACAGACTGTGCCATTAGTACTTGATGTCGAGGGCATAAGTTCGAGAAGGAACGTTGTTTGGAGTTGAACTGTACGTCGAGAACTTGCCCCAGCATATTCTTTGTTATAAGGAAATGTTAAGAACCCCAGAGACTTGAGCACCAGCTCGAGTATAATAGAACATTAGAGGGTAGAGACTATTTGTCACCATAAGCATCCTCGGAAGTCGAAGAGAGATAGAAGAGCCGAAGATGTCACATCCGATGCTATCAGTATAAGGATAATGAGATTCGAGGAGGTTCTCTCGAATAGAGTTCTGGACCAAACTCATGAATTGTAATTGCCCGTCCATGGAGAAGGTATACGAGCATTTAAACTTCTTTGTATCCGCCCAACTGATCCACTAGCCTTTTTTCATGTCTTGAGAAATAGAGTGTAGAACCCATAGTCCGGGTTTGAGAAGTCTAAAATCAGGTTGATGTGTCAAACCCAAGTAGATATGTATATCATATTTGCTCGAAACTTGAGCAGGAATTCAGAGGTTGAAACTTGACCAATATTCCGGAGTTTTTGACCTAAACAATTTTCTTTAAAAAAAGGTAGACCAAATTAATTTTTTTGAAATTTTTGTGGACAAATCTATATCCTTCGGATTTCAAAAATCCGAATCCGAGGTAAACTCGGATTTCGGAAATCCGAATTTAATAGAAAACGGATTTTGAAAATCCGAATTCATTTTAATTAAAACTAAAACTAATTATCCGAATCCGAGGTAAACTCGGATTTCGGAAATCCGAGTTCTCAATTTTAAATATAACTCGGATTTCGGAAATCCGTGGGATATATTCATGTCCACAAATATTCTGAAAAATTTAAATTTGTCCACCTTTGTTTTAATTAAATTTTTTAGGGAAAAGACCCCAATATTCCGAGGAGTTGAACAACTCTAGACTCGATCCCAATTGACATAAGAGCTTGGGGGTAGATCTTTACCCTGTTAGTATGAGAAATGGATAAAATAATGCCCCTAGCCTGAGCAATAATAAAAAAACCATTGAGAAGAGTCATATTAGAGAGTCGCGAGCAGTAAGAGAAACAACTGCCCCTTGAGTAATATATGACTGCCCCTCGTGTAGAACAAGAAATGAATGCTCTTCGAGCAAAATAACTGAAGGTCCAATGTCGAGAATGAATGTTAAACACCTTCTTCGATGCCAGAAAAACTTCAAAACCTTCCTTCCTTCCTGATATCGAGGCCAATAATTCAACCTATTTATGAGGTACTCTACCAACATGATTATACATCTTACTCCTCCTGCCCCTTTCAAAAAAGGGCCCGCGATAGAAGAAGATCTAGGGACCTTGGATGGCGTCAAATGATAGAAGAGAACCTTTGACACATTTGGCCAATTCTTGAGCTCCCGCATGTGCTCTGCGGGAACTCTCACGGATTGTTTTGAGATGATAAGCATATTGTTGAGGACAAAACAGTGCCTCGAAGCCCTCTAAGTCTTGGGGTGGCATTTGGCAGACCGAGACTTTTAGATAAGATCCCATCACGAGAATGTAATTCCTGTTAGACAGCTTTAAGCAATGTTTGCTCAAGGAGCCCCCACATCCTTCTGACAGGAGAAATTGTCATTTAGGGCTTAGGTTTTCCCTATAGTCCTTGTTTGAGAATATAGTGTAGAGCCATAAGATTCTTCTTGCTAGCCTTGTGTTAAACTGGATCATTTCTGTTTCCACTTTCGACAAGACGTGTGTCGCTGTTAAAGTGGTGCCCCATTCCGTTCAGGGTCCCCTCGAGGTCTTTCGAATAGCAACACACAATGAGGAAGAAGACAACTATTGAAACGCTAGAAAAAGTATCCATAAACACAACATCTCCTAGGTTCCTTCGAGGACCTCGGGTAGAAATTGACAAGGCAGAGACAAAGAAATAAGAACCTTCGAGAGGATTGCAGAATCCCCCTATGTAATTAGTCATTTCCCAAATAAAGGATTCCTCGATAGACATTCTGTCTCGATGTAAAAGAGGTGTTAATGCTCTCTCTTCTTGTTGTTAATGTCTACTACATCTGTGATTAAAGATCCATACTTGAGCCTGAAACCCTTAATTACACATGTATCAGAGGAAATTGCACCGTTTGTCTCGAAGGAATTTACTAATCACCATTCGTCCCTTCTGGAGGGAGAGACAAAGCGTATTGAAATCGTGATTAAGGAAAGAACAAGAAAAATCCAACCTACTCGAGAGAGGCAGAAGGTCTTCAAAGGCCGACATAGTTTCAGGAAAACCCTCGTTTGAAGATGAAAAGACAGAGGGATCTAGAAGTCTTTCTTCAGCACTTGGGTATGATGTCCGAGGCATGATTTTTCCAATCCTCCCATGGGAGTTTTGCTGGTATAGGAACCAAAAATTGTTGATACAACCGAGGTGATTCTTGTTGAAGAAGTAAGTAAC